CTCTGCCACACTGCCCTTGAGATGCCAGCTGGGTCACTTTCTTTTTTTATTTTTGGAACCAGGGATTGAACTCAGGGGCACTCAACTGCTGAGCCACATCCCCAGCCCTATTTTGTATTTTATTTAGAAACAGGGTCTCACTGAGTTCTTAGTGCCTCATTTTTGCTGAGGCTGGCTTTGAACTCATGATCCTCCTGCCTCAGCCTCCTCAGCAACTGGGATTACAGGTGTGCACCATCGTGCCTGGAAGCTGGGTCACTTTCTCCAGAACTATTTCCTAACTCATTATGCATGGCATTTTATCCACTTTTCCAGCCTGCAACTTTAGCACAAGGGAGAAAGGCAGGTGACCCAAAGAAAGCTTTGGGATGAGAAGGATTACTTAAGATCATCATCAGGCCCACTGTGTTTCCCTGGCTGCCTCTGGACTGCCATTCACTGCTGAGGAAAAATGATGTCCCAGTTCACTTTGGTCAGAAAAAAAAAAGAGTAACTGGAGACCAGAGTGAGAATCAGGCAGTGGAACTTTTTTTTTTTTTTTTCAATTCTGGGGATTGAATTGAGGGGCACTTTATCACTGAGCTACATTCCCAGTCCTTTTTATATTATTTTGAACAGGGTCTTGCTAAGTTGCTGAAGCTGGCCTTGATCTTGGATCGTATTACCTCAGCTTCCCTGGTTGCTGGGATTTCAGATTTTGTACCAAAATGCCTGATTAATGTGTTATTTTCAATGTGACCTCAAAGTTGAAAAAGATCAGCCCTGCATTGGAAACATGGTGAAAATGTGATTATTTCATATCAGCAAATAAACTGTGGTTCTAATCACAAAGAATGGATCAAATAACAAATACAAGGGCTGGGGATATAGCTCAGTTGGTAGAGTGCTTGCCTTGCATGCACAAGACCCGGGATTCAATCCCTAGCACAAGAAAAAAAGAAAGAAAAAAAGAAAAAAAAAGGAAAAAAATCATAATTTTTTTTTCATTGAGGTAAAAGTTACATAATCTAAAACTAACCATGTTAGGTAGGCTTGTGATATAGCTCAGTGGTAGATCACTTGTCTAGCATATGTGAGGCCCTGGGTTTGATCCCTATCTCTGGGATCAAACTAACCATTTAAAAAATGTTCAACTCAATGACATTTAGTGCACCACCAGCTCCATCAAGTTCCAAAAACTTTTCATCACCCCAAAAGCAAACCCCTCACCCAATTAGCAGTCACTCCCCTGCCTCAATTCCTCCCCTGGCCCAGCCCTAAAAAAAAATGCTTTTTATCTTATTTATCTCAAGATATTTTGTGTAACTGGAATCCTACAATGTGACCTTTCATGTCTCTCTTCTTTCACTTAGCATAATGTTTTGGAGGAGAATGTTGTAATATGTGTCAGTACTTCTTCTTCTTCTTCTTTTTTTTTTTTTAGATTAAATAAAATCCGACTGTATAACTATAACCACAATTTGTTTATCTACCCATCCACTAATGGACTAGAGCATAGAATTTGCCCCTTCTGAATTTAAACATGCCTAAAATTGTTTCTGTTCCCAAGAGTCTAACTCAACTCCAGCACCACCCACAAGATCCACATGGTAAGTCTTCCAGAACACAGTATCCCCCATTTTACAGATTAGGAACCAGAGGAAAAGAAGGAAGAAGTGACCACATCAGATGAGATTCCAAGCCTACTGTCCATCCCATGTTACCCTGGCTGGTGTCTCAGATAATTTAAAACAAGGTCCCCATGGCAAACAAACTCCCTGGGGGGGATTTCAGTGCAGTCTGCCTGAAGGCAGGAACCCCTTGAATCCTGTGTCCTTCCCCAGTGTTTCTGAATGCTCTCAGTGTCTCCAGGCAGTCAGCCAGTGGGCCAGGCACACAAGCTCTCATTGCTTCCTTTTTTGATACCTTCTCATTACTTTTAATTGCATTGGAGACTTTGGCATCTTATATTTTGCTTCTTAATCCAGGGCATTTCTTCGCCTCCCACTGGTCCAGCATAGCACTTCCCTCTCAGAGCTCTCCAGAGGAGTGCCCCCAGAAAATGGAGCGGCCTCCTGTCATGCATTCATCTCTATAATGAACAGTGTAATATCCATGTCTAGGCATATTTACATAGCAATCTGCACACAAAAGCCACATTACAAAGGGAAGGGTTTTTTTTTTTTTTTTTTTTAAGGAATGCCATTTCAAAGCTCCATTTCCTATAGTAGTAAGAACACTATTGGAATTATCCTGACAGGAAGACAAAACAACTTCCAGGGATGCTGGGTTAGAGACAATAGCTTCGCCAGACCCATTAATGTTTAAAGTCAATGGAGCATAAAACTGCTTTTCTCTACTTACAGTCAGGCATCATCTTACGGAGAGGAGGGGGAAAAATGGCCATTTTAACTCTACTGAAATCCATAAGCCCTCCCCTAATTTCCATTCCCCTTGAAATTCTCCAATAAGTACTATCAGAATGAAAATGAGACTCTCTCTCTCTCTCTCTCTCTCTCTCTGGGGCGAATGACTTCCTACCCTCATCAGTGAAGTGTCTGAAGAACTCCAACAGAAGCAGAGGTAGGAGCTGCCTGCTGGGAAAGGTTTCATCACTGGAACCTGCAGAACTAGTTGTGGTGACACACCTTGGGAGCCCCAGGACTGCCTTCAGGAAGGCCCTAAACAATTCCAGCTCAGGGTGGACTGAGGCAGAATTTAAGGGACCCCACCAGTTCAAGGAAGGAATGCCTCCAGTGTATACTTTACTTAGTGGGCTGCTGGGGGGGAATCTCATCATTAATATATTAGCTGTTTCCCTGGGGAAATCGCTGGAATGGAGCCAGGCCTCTGTTAGTAAACCACTGGACCTAATCCCTCAGTACATTTGTGTAATGCCTGACAAAGCCTGTTCCCATTATCTCATTTGATCCTGAAAACAATCCTCAGAGGGAGGCAGGGCAGGGATTATTTTTTCCATTTTACAAGTGAAAACACTTGTAAACTGATTTGCCAAGAGTCCCACACCCAGGATGTAGCAGGAATGAGACTTGATTCTAGGTCTTTGTGTAACCTGTTCAGGGTTCTTTTGACTCCACACAAGAGACTGGTCAAAATATTCCCAGCCCCACCCAGTCCTCACAACCACCAGTTTAACCAGCAACTGGGATCTAAAAGACAGGAGTGGCTGTGTACACTGCCCACACACCTCTGCCCTGGTTGGCAAGCTCTCTGGGAGGAAAAAAAATTAATTTCATGTCATCTCTCTGCACCAAAGACCAAAATTAATCCCAGATGGATTTGGGGAAAAAAAATCCAGGCATTAGAAAAATCTAAAGAAAATAGAACTGAATATTTAATAACTTTCTGAAGGCAAGGAGACTCTAAATTTAGCATCATGTTAGAAGTCTCAAAGGAAAGGATTTCATAGATCTGACTACATTAAAATGTTCTGTTAAACTGATTAAAAAAAAAATTTTAGAGAGTCAACAACAACAACAAAAAAACCCCTGATGAAATATTTGTAGTAAAAAGTGAAAGCAAAGGGTTAACCTCTGGTACACAGACATAGAAAAACTCTAGGAAAAACTTATTAGGAACGATTTACAAAAAGGAAGTACAGTTGGTTAACAAACATTTAGAAAACTGCTCTAACTAAAATAAAAAATTGTAAACTGACAGAAGATACCAATTCCACCTATGAAATCAGCAAAAAAAAATTTCAGTAACAATTAAATGTTGGTGAAAGTACAATAAATAAAGTACACTAGCACAATGATAGGGGAGGACATTTACCCAAATCTCAGAAAGTTATTTCATGTATTTATCAAAAACATTAAAATAATATCCATATCCTTTGACCTAAAATTCTATTGGGAACACGCTCTAAGAAATATAAATATGGAAAAGTTTGATGGACAAAAACGTTAAGTCACACTCATTTACAACAGGGAAATTAGGGAAACAGCAAACGTTAAAGGAATTTAAACAATTACATATATTTAGTGGAAATGTACGTAATCACTAAAATGTTTTCAAAGTGCATGAATAACATGAAAAAAGGCTTCTGGTTGCAATACAAAGTTAAAAAAAAATGTATAACATTCTTTATAGAAAAAAATCCTGAAGAAAAAAGAAACCTAAGGGAAAAAATTGTTCAACCATGTTTTGAGTCCTATAATTGAGAAAATTTCCACAGCTCCTATATTTCTATTTGAATTGTAGTAGGGACAAACGAGGCAAGGCACCAAAGATAGCAGGAAACAGTCTTATTTGGCTGCAGCCAGGTTCAGAGGGCACAGCTTTTGCTGTAATCAATCAATCCCCTGAACCCCGAGCTCAGGTAGTTTCAAAGTTTTATACCCAGCGTGTAAGGGGAGGGGCTCAGAAGTTCACAGTCTTCAGACGTTCACATAAAAGCAGCTTTTTCCTTCACTGTTCTGGGCAAGTTAACCCTTCAAGGACAGCACCTGAGAAGAAAGAGCTTCTTCTCCCCTTTCTTTCCTCCCCCTGCCAGCTGTTACCATGGAGCCCAATTGGTACCTTCTCTTATCTTAGAAATGTAGACATCTCTGTGAAGCCCAGCTCAAGGCCAGAGGCCTGGTTTACACATTTCTACAAACTACTATACTGGAATCATGTTTGTGAGAAACTAGTAGGGGGGTGTCCAGCACCTGGAATGCTGGTTTCTTCCTGGCAAGTGGCAAAGTCAAACAGGGCGACACGAAAATAGAAAGTTTATCTACATTGAACTCTTGTAGAGACTCTTTTGCTGACAATCCTAAAATCAGCCATGGTGAAGATTTCTGGAGAAGCCCAGTAAAGACTTTTCTGTGGAGAAAGGGGGTGCCACTTCAGAAACTTAAAAACAAACAAACAAAAACCACAAGCAACTCTCCAGGCAAGCAAGCAGTAGTCGTTCCTTGTCTCGCTTTGTTGCCCGGGAGGTTTCAATAATTGGGGATGGGGACGTATCTGTGACCCCCACCTCCGACCTGAAAGCAGATCGATCACACCGGAAATAGAGGTTCAACCACGAGATTTATTGGAAGCAAGAGACGGCTGCCCACCTGCTCGAGTGGGGACAGCAGCCGTGCCTCCATCAGCACTGGGTGAGGTAGGTCCCTTAGAGGATGGGCACGAGCTGATCGGGCCTGAGAATTCAAAGGGGCAATGCTTCCTCGTGGGATCCTGCTATTGGCAGGTGGAAGGTGGTGGGGAGGGTGACATACTGTGTTGTCAATGGCCTGGTTGTCACTAGGTGGGAATGGGTGGTGGAGTGGGAAGGGGCAAGGCTTCTCCTGGGAAATGGAAACTCCCTGGTACCTAACATTCCTCACTATTTTGCTTTAAATTGGGGATGGGGGCACTGACTTAGTCTAGCTACTTCCTGCTGACGTGGGAAGATGTGGAAAAAGGAGGGGAGGGATGTCTGGAAACAGAGAGAGAAGAAGCATCATTGTGAAGACCCAGGCACCGAAGCCATAAATTTCCTCTGGGCTGAAATCCATGAAAATTCCCTGAAGCTACAGATCATGGATAGTCTCCATCCAACCCTCATCACTGCAAATGAGGGAATCAGCCAGCTGTCCTGTTAGAGGGTCTCCGTGAACTCCACGAATTGGGTGAGCCACATGATGAGCCTAAAGACACCGAAGACACCCGAAGGCAACGAGAAGAAGAAAGAGGAGACACAACATTAGCTTCTGGCAGGAAGTCCAGCAGGGGGACTGGCTGAGAAAAGGCCAGCAGTCAGGAGGAGGCACCCGAGGGCGAATGGGCCTAGAAACCCTGGGTGACAGGCTAGTGAAGTTCCTCCAGTTGTGTTTCCAATTTGTAGCTCCATATTCAAAGTGATAAAGTTCCATCAGCAGTTGGTGAGGCCTTCACAGGAGGAATAGGTGTCTTCTGAGGTAGCAAATAGTTGGTAATCCTGGAGAAGCTGGTTAAAGGTCTGATTAGATATTCTGCCTATTTGATTTTGTAGGAATTTTATGATACAGGATAGAAAGGCACAAAACAAACAAACAAACAAAATCCCAATTAGAGGGCCAAGTAATGGGAGGACCCAACTGATAATAGAACCTGGAGACATATTCCATAGAGAGGACTGGGCCCTCTGTTGTTTCCTTTTCTCTAATTGCTCTTGTAGTTGTTTGATCTTATTTTTTACCACTCCTGACTGATTAACATAAAACAGCATTCTTCCTGAAATGATATAGGCAAAGTCCTCCCTTCTCCTCTGTAAGCAAGTGTAAGCTGCGGTGGTTTTGTAAGAATCTAGCTGACTTCGAGAGTAAGATAGATTTGGCTAGACAGCTGGTGGTAGTAGGTAAGGGACGTCGTCATCCCTGCTGTGCCTGTAGCCAGTTCTGCCGTTATTTCCAGAATAGCCAGTAAGAGGATAAGTTGGGCGGCTCGTTTGTGACGGGGTTTATGTGAGCCATGAGGGGGATGGGAATATCCTTGTCTCCTGAGACAACATCTATGGATGGGAATAAAAGGGTTAGTGTGGATGTGCTGCTCCATCTTGGGGGCAAGCATGGTACACAGATGTCCCGAATAAGAAGGATGCCTCAGGGGTCGGTGGACAAGAGGGCTTGGGAGATAGTCTATGGGTAATTATTTGAGCACACTGTTCATCTTGTAAGTTACTGACAGACGTATTCCCGGAGGAGTTGAGACATGTGTCGGCAACCTGATAAAGGGGAACCCCTGAAAGTTTTCGGGAGATGTCAACTGTTGTGGAAGTAGTTTCGTTGAGGATCAGTGAGCCATTGACCAATGAGGAGTTTAGTTGTATTGGGCTGGCAACTAGTGAAAGAATCCTGCCTTGAGGCACAGCCAGCATCCCTGAGCCAATGTGGAGTTAGTCAGTGGGATAACCCAGTGCCTCAGATGATGAGTGGTGTTAATGATCTGGATTAGAAGGGTGTCCTTGGGTAAGGACTCCCATCTGACAGATTTAAGAGCTTTCTGGTGGGATGCAACATGGTGGCAGGCCTTATCCTGAACCCCTCCCCCATCTGACACTCCAAAACATAGGTGGCTGCCAGAGCTATGAGACAGGGAGGTCCATCCCTGGACGGTAGGGTCCAGTTGTTTGGATAGATAGGCTACTAGAGCAAATGTTGGTCCTTGCTGTTGGCCTAGCACCCCTAGGACATACAGAACAAAGAATCTATGAATGTCAGGTAAGAGAGCGTGGGGGCCTCAAGGGACGTACCAAAGTTTGTGGAATGGAGCTCGGATGGCATTAGGGGTGGTCGCCAATGATTTTCCCCTTGCTGTATCATATAGTGGGGCAGCTAAAAGGGAAAAATTGAGGATCCAGGCTCGGAAGCTTCCCGCCAGCCTCAGGAAAGAGAGAATATCTTCTGTGGTGAGTGGGATGGGCAAATTTGGAATCAACTGTTTCTGGTCCAGGGTGATGGCCTTTTTTTCCCTGAGACACCTGGACTCCTAAGTAGGTAATTGCTGATAGTGAGAGCAGGACCTTTTGAGGGGAGACCCGGTAGCCCTTCTTGGAGAGGAATTTTTTTTTTTAAATTTTTTTAAGTTGTTGATGGGGCTGGGGAGTGGCTCAAGCGGTAGCACGCTCCCGTCGCATGCGTGCAGCCCAGGTTCGATCCTCAGCACCACATACACACAAAGATGTTGTGTCCGCCGAAAACTAAACTAAACTAAAATATTAAAAAATTCTCTCTCTCTCTGTCTCTCACTCTCACACTCTCTTTAAAAAAAAAAAGTTGTTGATGGACCTTTATTTTATTTATTTGTATATGGTGCTGAGAATCGAACCCAGTGCCTCATGCATGCTAGGCAAGCGCTCTACCACTGAGCCACAATCCCAGCCCCTGGTGAGGAAATTCAGGAGGGAGACAGTGTCACTCTTGGAGATAGGTAGGAAAGGACTACAGAGAGTAAATCATCCACATATTGCAAAAGGGTGGAATGGGGAAGAGTAAGACCCCAAAGGTCTTGTGCCAGGGCTTGGCCAAAGATATGTGAACTATCTCTGAAGGTTTGAGGGAGGACCATCCAGGTAAGCTGCTGGGAATGATGTGTCTTAGGGTCGGTCCAGATGAAGGCAAAGATGTCCTGAGAATCCTGAGCAAGGGGAATGGTGAAGAAAGCATCCTTTAGGTTAACAATTGAGAAATGGGAAGAGAAGCAAGGAATGGAAGAGAAGATAGTGTAGGGATTTGGCACCAGAGGGTGAATGAGTCTGACCGCCTCATTAATGATTCGCAGGTCTTGTACAAGGCAGTACCATCCATTAGGTTTCTTTACGGCCAAAATAGGAGTGTTAAAAGGGGAGTGGGTAGGTCTTATTAAGCCCTTGTGCCATAGGTCCTTAATAATGGGCTGTAGGCCCTGAAGACTGCTAGTTGGAAGAGGGTATTGAGGTTGACAAGAGAAATACTGAGGGTCCTTAAGACGAATTCTGAGAGGGACACATTGAGCCAGAGAAGGGGGTGGAAGTGTCCTAAATTTGAGGATTTAACCTCCGGAGAGGGAGAAGGAGGGGAGCCTGTGGACATGTGGGTTGCTTCTGCAAGGGTGAGGATAAAAGAGAAGCTATGATGGAATGTGAGGGAGGCATGGAATTTGGCTAAGATATCCCTTCTCAATAGGGGAATGGGGCATTGGGGCATTACCAAAAATTGGTGGGAGAAAGGATGGTGGAACCTATAAGAGAGAGTGGGGGTTTTGCGGGGAAGGATTGTTTGTGCCCTTACCCAGAAACAGCATGGAAGAGTGGGTCCCCAAAACTCCTTCAAGACTGAATAAGTGGCCCCTGTGTCTAAAAGGAAGTTAATTGGGCATCCATCCACCATAATAGTGACCCTGGGCTCCTGAGAGGTGATAGTAGTCATTGGGGAGGGAGTCCCAAGGCCCATTCAGTCATCTGTGGCCAGTCCTAAAAGATCCAGACCTGGGCTTGGGGCAGACACAGCTCCCCTTTGGGGGCCGGCGCAGTCCATGGCCCAGTGACCCCCTAATTGGCATTTAGGGCATGGACAAGTAGGTAACCTGGGATTAGGGCACTCTCATGCCCAGTGTCCTTTTGTCCCGCACTTAAAGCAGGGCCCAAGAGGCATCTTTGGTGGTGGGCATTTGGCCAGAAACGAAGAGGTCCGTGGGGGTAGGTCCCCATAGAGCCTGTACCAGCAACTGGGGTTTTGTTTCCTGGCCTTCTCATCCCAGTTATGGTATACCTTAAAGGCTGTGGCCAGGACTTCAGTCTGAGGGGTCAAGGGGTCTGAGGGGTCCCCGTTCCAGTTTTTTAAAGTTTTGCCCTAACGTTGGGTAACTCTGGGAGAAAAAATAGGTCATTAGAAGCTGTCTCCCATCAGGGGTTTCAGGATCTAAATTAGTATATTGCTGGAGAGCCTTAGTCAGTCTATCTAGGAAGGTGGAAGGGTTCTTGTTTTTATCCTAAATGATTTCTCAAGTTTTTCAAAATTTACCGTCTTTTGAGCTGCCCGTCTGAGTCCTACAACTAGGCAGGTGGAAAATTGGTCCCTCAGGGCCAATCCTGCAGTGGTATTGTAGTCCCAGTTAGGATCCTGGTCAGGAACTGCCTGGGCACCTAGGAGGTGGACGGGGGTGGTTTGATGGATCTCATCAGCATTGTTACGGGCTTGTTCCCAGACCTGTCTGCGTTCTTCTGGGAGAAGGGTATTGGCCAGGATCGTCTAAATGTCATGAAAAGTAGGCTTGATGTATGTACTAAAACTCCTTTATGTATGAGGCAGTTGGAGGTGTAGGAACCCAAGTATTTTTCAGTCTGAGAAAGGTCTGCTATGGAGAAAGGGATGAGGACCCTAAGGATCCCTTTGGCCCCAGCAACCTCTGTAAAAGGAGCCATGATTGAAGTAGGGTGTGACTGGACAGACTGTGCATGGGAATGGGGAGTGGAAGGACTGAAGGAGGAAGTGAGGCAGGGCCCAGAGAAGAACGTGAAGGAGGCAAAGGGGCAGGGATGGTGTGGGCAAGGGAAGGGATTTGGGTGCCAATATGGTGGTGGCTCATTGGCTGGATGGAAATCAGTCGGTGAGGAAGCAGAAAGGTGTGGGGGAGGTATAAGCCAAAAAGACATGCTTTGAGTTGCAAGAGGTACAGAGAGATGGAGTCAAGCGAAGGAGAGAGAAAGCTTGAATATATGAAATCTCTACCATTTTCTCGATTGCTCCCAATAGTTGTAGAGATTCTACAAAATGGCAGGGGTCTAAGGACCCATAAGGGGGCCAATTGGTTTTGGTTATCTAAGGGAAAATTGGACCAGTCCTGAGTTGAAAATTTTATCAAATTTTTGGGCTTGATATCTGGGGTCAGGCTGAGGGTGTCCAAATTGTTGAGGAGGCATTTGAGAGGGGAGTCTGCCCGCAGGGAGGAGGGTATGATATGTTGACTGGAGAGGCGTCCCACTTGAGCCAAATATTAAAATAGGACCTCAGGCAGAGGATTCGGGAGTTATTGGTATCTGCCAGTGAGGGAACCCAGAGGGCAGTGGGAGCTATGGGTCGCCTGGACTCAGGCTTTTTGGAACTAGAGAAGGGGAGGAGGAGATCCAAGTTCGAGGAGGAGAGGGGGTTTACCAGTTCTCAAGGTCGCCGAGGCCGGTAAGGAAGGGGAATGACTCCAAGAGGACCACTGCAACTGTGAAGGTCTGGGTGGGGTGTATTCCTCTCCACGAAACAACACAAGGACTGCCTGACAGTTCCCTGTTACTGAGCCTCACGGGTTTTAGGAGTCCGGAGAGGGAGACTCACCCATTTGTAGGCTGATGGTGGATGTGAAGAAGTGGTCTCCGCTCAGGTGGTGATCTCCGGTGGGACGGGGGTTCCACTTAAAGGCAGGGGAGCCCCATCTGAGTCAAGGCACCAATGAAAGCAGATCGATCACACTGGAAACAGAGGTTCAACCAAGAGATTTATTGGAAACAAGGAGATGGCTGCCCGCCAGCTCAAATGGGCACAGCAGCCACGCAACCATAGGTTCGTTCAAGGACTGGCACGAGCTGATCAGGCCTGAGAATTCAAAGGGGCAACGCTCCCTTCGTGGGATCCTGCTATTGGCTGGAGGAAGGCGGGCAGGTTGATGTACTGCATTGTCAATAGCCTGGTTGTCGCTAGGCGGGAATGGGTGGTGAAGTGGAAAGGGGCAAGGCTTCTGCCAAGAAATGGAACTTAGATTAGTCAGAGGAAATGGAAACTCCCTTACACCAGACAGGACCCATTGCACCTTCCTTAAAAGTGTGCCTTCTTCACTCGCGATTCCCTCCTCCCTTCCCTGCCCCCACTTCCATACTGCAGGCTGGCCGGTGTGGCCTGCGTCCTCAGCGCTGGGGTGGGTGACTGCAGAGTTAGGCTGAACGCAGGGCGGGCCCAAGCGGTGCTGACACGTGGGGAGGGAGCAGGCGCGGCGGAGGAGGGGTTGGGTGTGTGGGTGGGTGTGTCTGTGAGTGGGAGAAACCAACTGTGGCCGCCCGGAGTGTGTATCTTTTCATAGTGCTGGGGGGAGCCGCTCAGGACGAAAGTGGCTACCACGCCCAGGAGCCCCTCACAGACAGATAGCCATCACACACCTGAGAAGGCTCTGGCTGCGGCCAGGCCCTGCCCCGGAGTCCCGCGCTCTGGCGTCTCCTCGCGCCTCACCCCGGCTAGGCACAATGGTAGGGCCCACATACGTCATCCATTGTTTACAAATCAACCCGAGCCGGCAGGATTCCGGCTCCCCCGGCTGCTTGCGCGCCGCGCTACAACCCCGCCGACCCGGCTTCCGCATCCCCCAGTCCCCGGCCTCAGCTTCAGCCTCCGCCCGGCGCCCCGCGCCTGCCGGTGCCGCGGCCCGCCGAACCCGCGGGCAGCCGAGCCACCGCGACGCCCGCAGAGCTTCGGGTGCCCGGGAGGGGGCCATGCCGTGCCGGAGGGAGGAGGAAGAGGAAGCCGGCGAGGAAGCGGAGGGGGAGGAGGAGGACGACGACAGCTTCCTCCTGCTGGAGCAGTCGGTGACGCTGGGCGGCTCGGGCGAGGTGGACCGACCGACTGGTGGCCCAGATCGGCCAGACGCTGCAGCTGGACGCGACTCAAGACAGTCCGGCCTCCCCGTGCGTGTCCTCAGGGCCGCCGCTGCAGCCCCCGGCGGCGCTGCAGGCAGACAAGGCCCGGTCCCCGGCCGTTCCTCTGCTGCTGCGGCCCGCGTCGGCCGAAGCTGGGGGGCCCGCGCCCCCGGGAGCCCTACGCTGTGCCCTCGGGGACCGCGGTCGCGTGCGGGGTCGCGCTGCGCCCTATTGCGTGGCGGAGCTCGCCTCAGGCCCCAGCGCACTGCCCGGGCCGTGCAGGCGAGGATGGCTCCGTGGCGCCGGCGCCTCCCGGCGCATTCAACAGCGACGGTGGACCCAGGCCGGAGCACGCGCGGGCGATGACGACCCCCACCGCCTCCTGCAACAGCTCGTGCTGTCGGGAAACCTCATTAAGGAAGCAGTGAGGAGGCTCCAGAGAGCCGTCGCCGCGGTTGCGGCCACCAGCCCCACCGGTGCCTCTGGGCCCGGTGGCGGACGCAGCGGACCGGACCCCGTCGCCCTGCAGACCTCGAGCGCCTTGCTCTAACCCTGGCCCCCTGGAGAAGGAAAAGGACGCCGCTGCGTACTACTCTGCGTCCTGCTCCCATCAACCCTGATCTGAAGCCTCGGCCTCTACTCCTGGGAGCTACAGCTTAGGCTGCACGCAGGCGCTTGGAAAAATCTTAAACCCAGAAATGGAACCGGCCCGGGCAGTGCTGTCCGAGAACTTCAAGTATGGTGAAATGCACGGACCAAGGCACGTCCGTGTCGCGTGAGAATTTCCCCAGTCACCCCGGGCCAAGGACCTGGGATAAACTGGGGGACCCATGGCAGCTACTTGCATCCACTTGTACCTGACCTAGCCCTTGTGGGCATCGTGTGCTTGGATTGTTTTAAAGATAGGGCTGGAAAGGGGCGGGAATCGCGAGAGCTTTCTAACAATACTTGAAAACTAGTGATATGGATACATTTTCTCGTTATTTTCCGGTGGAGGAGCTTACTGAAAATGGTGCTATAATTGCTGTGCAGAGAAATTCTGGGTTGAAGAATATAAAATCTTGGCATTGGGTGGGTTGGCATCGCCTCCTTTCTTCCACTTAATCCGTGGCTGGAGGAGGTGGGAGACTCCACTTACGGAATGGGAGGGAGGGACATAATTTCGAAGTTGGGAGAGTTAAATTTGATTGTGGACTTTTAAATGACTTGACCTTGCCACCCGTGGTTGAAGGTCACGTTTATGCTCTAAGTGAGAGGCAGTGGGGTTCCTGCAAGAGCTAACTCACCCATGGTGTCTTTTTCTCTCCAAGAAGAACTCTGTCTTGTGCTTTGCCACCGCTTGGAGTCTCCTGAGGACACACAGGCAGGGAGGGACGTGTGAGAAGAGTTAGTTGCTTTTTCTGTACTTTCCTCTTTCCAGAACTCCTCCTCTTGCAGGGCTACTCTTGGCCATGTCATTAGCTTTCTCAGAAACGGTCATAAACAATCTCCTGTCCTCCCAGCCGACCTTTCTTACTCTGCCCTTTCTGTGGGGTTGGATGAAGGCCCTGGACGCCTTTCTGCTCTGTTCTGGCCCTCTGGAGTGGTGGGCCTGAGCCTCTGCGGTTCCTCATGCACAGTTATTTTCCTCCTGCCTGCCAGCTCTTCTTTGTGAGTGACTGAAACTTTTAAAAATGTGACTCTCCTCTAGGAGAAACTGCTGGCTTTACCCTTGTGAAACTTGATGGCGCTTTAGTAAGGTGCCACCCCCAAACTTTAAGGTAGCTAAACCAGTTTTTTAAAGATTCAATGGCTTGTTCATCCTCCAGATGTAGCTATTGACTGTACACTTCGCAACGGAGTGTCTGAACTTGTGGTGGTCCTGATTTATAGGATTTCTTAATTAAAATGTCTGCTGAATAAATTTGATTTTTGTTTTGAAGCATGGTTTGGCTTTTTGTTGGAAAATGGGGAAGGGAAATAAAAGCCTATAGGGCATACCCTTATTAATGAAGAATGCACTTAGAGTAATTAGAGGGACCTAGGTAAATGGCTGGGGCTCACCATTGTATCCCTGTAGAGTTGCAGCCCTTGAGTGCTCCTGGGTTAATGTTCTGCACAATCAGAAAATTGAGTCCAGGTTTTTAGGAGCTGCCAGGTGGGCTCTTACTCCTTTTGTGGAAAACATATTCCAGAAACATTTTCTGGACGGGAGGGCAAAGAAACACTGGGTCTAGAGGGAGATGGGTTTTCATTTTTTTTGTTGTTGTTGTTGCTAGGGATTGAATCCAGGGGTGCTTTACCACTGAGATACATTCCCAGCCCTTTTTATTTTCACTAGATTCTCACTAAGTTGTTTAGGGCTTCCCTAAATTGCTGGCTTTGAGCTTAGAATCTTCCCACCTCAGCCTCCTGAGTCACTGGGATTACAGACATGTACCATATGTGCCACACCACTGTGCCCAGCAGGAGATAGGTTTTCCTCTGAATTTTTTTTGGGTGAAGAATAGCAAAGCCTGCCTATTTTCTCCTTTTAAGACTAACTCCTTGGAGCTATAGCCTAGGGGAAGAAAAACAGTTTTAGCTGGACACAGTTGCTCACCTGAAATCCCAAAGACTTGGGAAGCTGAAGCTGGAGAATAGCAAGTTTGAGGCCAGCCTTAGCAAGTTAGCAAGACTTTGTCTTAGAAAATAAAGAAGGCGGGGCTGGGGATGTGGCTCAAGCGGTAGCACGCTCCCGTCGCACGCGTGCGGCCCAGGTTGGCCCAGGTTCGATCCTCAGCACCACATACAAACAAAGATGTTGTGTCCGCCCATAACTTAAATAAATAAATATTTAAAAAAAAAGAAAAATAAGAAAATGAAGAAGGCTGGGGATGTAACTCAGTGGGAAAGCACCCCCTGGGTTCAGTCCCCAGTGCCAAAAAAAAAAAAAAAAAAAAGTTGGGGGTGCTGTATAGTGATTTATTTAGTAGTTGTAAAGATGGCTTGGTTTGAGCTGGCAAGGATTGTGTTTGACCTCATGAGGTGGGCCCCTCCTCCGCCCCTCAGCCCCGACTTCCCTGGGGCAAATAGCCTTTGCTGAGCCCCTTTCTACTTCCTGTCTGCCTTTCCAAGGAAAGCTTGGGGGCAGCCCCCACTCTGCCTGTCAATCCCCTGAAGGACCTTTCCTGCCCTGCACCTCTTCCACACTGTGCCCTGCACACAGCTGGTTAGTGCTTAGTGACTGGGGCGTGACTTAGTCCTGCTGCTTACCAGCTGTGTCTGATGAGCAAGTTACTGCCCTGCGCTTCCCCCTTTTCTCATTTATAAAATGGTAATGCTTAGTAAGGTAGTTGGGAGGGTTAAATGAGGACCTGAGGTGTCTGGGAGACTTAAGTGTTCCGAACATAACTAACTGCTAATTCTTTTTTTTTTTAATCTCTTTTTTTAAATATTTATTTTTTAGTTTTAGGTGGACACAATATCTGTATTTTACATTTATGAGGATCAAACCCAGTGCCTCATGCATGCTAGGTGAGCGCTCTACCACTGAGCCACAACCCCAGCCCCCATAACTGTTGATTCTTGGCACTACCACATGGCTTTATATGCCTTGAGGTAAGCCCCATATTTCCATTTTATAGACGACACTGAGGCTTAGGAAATTAAGGGATTTGCTTGAAGATACCTCCTCTTAAGTGATGGAGCTGGAATTTGAACTTGGATATCTGACTATAGCTTCTCCTGCTTTCCTCAGTTAGGTCTTTGGGTTTTATTGTACCACTTACAGGAAACTCTTTTTTTTTTCTTCCCAGAGGTTTTACCCCTGAGATACATCCCTAGTCCGTTTTTTTTTTTTTTTTTTTTTGTGTGTGTGTGTGTGTGTGTGTGTGTGTGTGTGTGTGTATGGTGCTGGGGATTGAACCCAGGGCCTTGTGCATGCTAAGCAAGCACTCTACCAACTGAGCTATATCTAGAGCCCCTAAAAGACTTTTGGACACCACTCTCACCCGTGTTGGATTTCTTGGAGTTCTTTGGAACATCCCACAAACTTTGACCCACCAATACTTCAACACAATAGCAAACTTTTCTTGTGCATCAGCCACATATCTGCACAATATAGGAATCTGGAATGAGGCAGAGTTGAAACATCCTGATAGAACTCACAGCAGATTTAGACACACAGACCTTCATATGAGGAAATAGGCATTGCATAAGAGCGGCCCAGATAACAAATGCCATATGGCTGTTTCCTTCAGAACTGAATCACAAGTCCTCTGTAAGATGAGGATTGGGCCAAGAGAGATCTCACTCAGGGCAAATACCCTGGAGGTTTGCAACCTGACTGGAACAGCACTTAGGAATATAATAGGAATGAGGACTGCAACTAAGGAGAAAAGATCTATGGAATCTGAGCATCTAAGAGGAGAAGGGAACTGAGTAGGGAGGAGAAAACACTCTGGTGCACACCTTTATATGACTGTACGACTTGGTGGTAGGGCAGGAGTTGAACTCAGGCTCAGATTGAACCTCATTGACTCTCTTACCTCCTGTCTG